AGAAGCTGATATTTAGCCGTTACCCTATATATGTAAATTTTAGGGATAAAACTAACCTAGATATAGCTTTCTCATCCTACATGATAAGATAAATGTATAAGGGCTTAATATTGAACTAGACAAAGGTTAAACAATATATGTCTTGTGTTAATATAGGCATGAAGGTAAAATGATAATTATAAATATAATCATTATCACATAAAGGTTTCACAAATTACATTTCATTTTCGTCATTTTGGTAGTAGTAATGTGTTGCTCGATATTGTTTATCATTTATTATATTAAATGTGTGATTTAATATAATTTCTAATATTACGAAAACCTACAAGGTCACACACATACAAACGGATTGTTGACATATTAAATAAATCAGTGAAACTTATTTAGTGGTGCGGTCTTACAATGCACTAGCGTTAACTAGACAAATGTGGTACACCTAAGGTACGATGCATTTTAGCGCAATACAATACACCATAAGGTATAGTATACTTAAGTAGACTTTCTCATATTACACCTCGTAGAAGTGATTCTATAAATATAACTCTTGTGCTTAATTAAATAAGTTTTGACCAAATTCGTTTTAGAAATCCTAATTTTCAAAACCTAAAATTGCACTCTCTTTCAGCCTTCATTCGAATAAACTAGCCATATGTTACGAAGTCATCCATGACCTGGGATTTGATGGTCTCTTTGAGTTCAAAATCAATCTGAAAACTCAGGGAGTTCCACTATAGTTTCAGCATAACTTTTTTTAATATGAATGTCCATGTTGATTATTATTTGGTGTATGATAATACTAGTGTAATGGTTGGTTTTTCGTGTGGTTCTATACGCTTGCAGGTATGAAGTTAATAATCCCGCAAAAATATCTTTTCTAAAGTTTTGATGACGACAACATCAATGATTGTTGAAGTCGGTGACAATAGTTTTTCAGCTCTAATTATGGCAACCCAACTGGAAAACATCTCAAGTCTCATTAAGTACATCTACCTCGACCACAATCGGTCAAGCACCCGATTAACATTATCATTTGTTTCATCTAGTTTAAAATCATTATTTACTTCATTCATTTAATATCATGCTTCACTTCGACCGGTTTAACATTGACACTCATAATAGTTTTAAAAAAACATATTTGGGTGTATCATATCTAATACCACCAATAAAAAAAATCAATGTTAAAAATCAAACTACATGACAATTCGAAGCTGCACATCCAGACCACACCTAACTTCATTCGGAGATGCAAATCTGGATTCAACATTTATTTTTCAGCTCAAAAATGATATACAAAATGATGTTTTGGTGTTGAAGAAATAATTCAAAACGAAAGAAAACTTTTATGGATTTTGAAAATGGAGTGTTGTTTAATATTGAAAAAGAAGTTCATGCAAAGTGGTATTTTATCCAATTTTTCATTGGATCTTTTCGAATATACATCTCTAAAAATATCATTGAGTCGTTAATTTAACCAACTCACTGAGAAAAAAATACAATAATTAAGTGCATGGACTATTTCAAATATGCATCTTCGAATACACCCAAATAATATACATAGATGGATCCCTAAATAGGGGTGTGCAAAATAACCAATAACCATAAACCAAATTTCTATCCAAATTAATCCAAATTTTAAAATCCAATCCAAATTTATATTTTAAATTCGGTGCCCCATTTATCAAATAAAAAAAAAACTGGTAACCATTTTTTTAAACCGGTTTGAGATTTGGTAACCATTTTTCAATAAGCTTCAAAAATAAAAGTATAATAGTTGGAAAAATCAAGATCAACACAAATTTCAAAAATTTTAATCTCATTTGTATCTTAATTCTCTAAATCACAATCATGGATTTATCGAAATAGTTCTGCGACGGAGAAAGTTGCGGTTAAGTAACGGTGGGGGACGGTCAGTGATAGGGGTGTACGCGCGTTGGGTTGGACCGGGTTCGCCTTAACCCGTTACCCAACCCGTTCAACTTTCAATGGGTTGGGTTTATCATCAAACCCGTAATTCTACTTTAAAAACTGACCCGAATCAACCCGGATATTTACGGGTTGGGTAGGGTTGGGTCCACGGGTTGTGTATATAATAATTATTATTTTCAATTTAAAAAATCTATAACACAATTCAATATAATTTTGCATATTTCAAACAATTAAATTATTTACGTAGTGGAGACAAATCCTACATATAAAATAGAATAATTAAAAATATAACAATTAAAATTTTGAAATGTATTTTCTTTGTCATAAAAAATATTAAGATACATATACACCATTAATTATTTGTGTACGTTACAATTTACAAAATTTTGAAATGTATTTTCTTTGTCATAAAAAATATTAAGATACATATACACCATTAATTATTTGTGTACGTCATAAAAAATATTAAAATATAACAATTAATTTAATGTGTGATTGGAAACTGGAAGGAAAGTGCAAAAGATCTTTGTGTACGTTACAATTTACAAAGTTATAGCAGCTTTAAAATTTATAAATAATAATAATAATTAATTATGCCACGTCAACAGGTTGGGTCAACGGGTTCATGGGTTTAGAAACTAAAACCCAATACCCAAACCAAATCTATACGGGTTGTTACGGGTTGGGTCGGGTATACCCGTAAATGAATGGGTCCGGATAATTAGTGGGTTGGTTCGGTTTGGATAGGCGGGTTTGCGGGTCGACCCGCACCCATGAACACCCCTAGTCAGTGATACGAGGAAGGTTGTTTTTTTTATATAAATTGATGATAATTAACAATTAATGATAATTAATAGATGCTAATTACATCAATGATTTTAATCAAATGAATCAAGAAAAACGTATATAACTCAGTAAAATTGTTGGGTCAAATTGAAAGTGAGATTTTACTTATAAATTGGCAAGACTTTTTTCTGCTTTAAACATAGCATGTGAATGTGAGCTAGTGTATGTGTCTCATCATACTCATTCACTTATATGTTCAAATTCATGTAGTACTGTTTGTATTTGTGAAGTGTAAAGTTTAATTATTCATGTATCTTCTAGTGGATTTGTTAATGATTTGATTTTAATTATCTCATAGGAATAATAGTCTTGATAAGTTGGTTTGTCATTGTGGAGATATTAATCGATTTTGTGTGAAATTGTGTTTTTGATGATTAAATGGGAAAATGGTTTTGCAGAAATGTTTAGATTATTTAAAATAAAAAATTGGTTTTAAGAGAGACCGGCTTAAAACTGGTTTTTAAAAAAACTGTTATTTTTTTTAAAAACCGGTTTGAAACCGAACCAATCCACTTGTAAACCGGTTTTAAAAAAATAAACCAATTTTATATAAATGGTTTTAAGATCCAAACCAAACCATATATGTGATTTGGTTTTGTTTATAATCCATAGGGCTGGCAATGAACCAAACCAACTCGAAGATAGTTCGGAATTCGACTCGACAATTAAATCGTTGAACTAGGTTCATGAACCAAATGAGTTGAGTATGAGCGAAAAATTAAGTTCGTTAACTAAATGAGCTGAACTTGAACTATACATAGTTCGACTCGTTAGGTTCATGAGTTAACTCGATTACATATGAAAAGAATTATACTGTCTTTAAGATTAGGTTTAAATATTTACTTCAAATCTTAGACAAATTTAATCTTCAATTTAGTAGTTTTTGAATTAGACTCTCAAATGTATCTCTTGAAAGTTGTGTAGGTTTTGAATTAGTAGATTTCGAAGTTAAAGTTAAATTTCAATATGATAAATTTTATTTTATTTTAATATTTTATTTAAAATATATATATTTATTTAAAATGTCAAATATACTAAAAAATATATATATTTAAAAAAATAGTTTTTAAGTTCGTGAACCATGTGAGCTGAACCTAATGAGATGAACCTAACGAGTCGAACCGAACTGTTCGTGAACTTATAACGAGTCGAGTTTGAGCTTAAAAAAAAGTTCGTATCTAACTCGAACTCGAACTCGAATTCGAACAATTCTTAACGAGTCGAGCCGAGCTGAGGTGAATTCGACTCGACTCGACTCATTTTCAGCCTTAATATTAATCCATACCCACCCCTATCCCTAAACCATATTTTATTGAAAATAAGATAAATGTTTGAAAGGCAAAAATTCGTGTAATTTTGAATCCGTCCAAAAAAATAAATCTTCAAACACATGAAAAAAAAATTTCAAATTTTCAAAAATGTGAAAAGCACCACAAAAAAATGCATTTTTCATAAATAAAATTTTAAAACAGCCCAAAACCCGAAATTGTTACTGCCTTTTCAGAATCTAATCTCGGTTTCTACGTGAATAAAATTTGAAACGGCCTCAATTTTTAACATTGAAATGAGTTGGATTCATGATGAAAAAAGAACCAAAATCATAAAATTGAAAACCAAAATTTCAAAATATAAAATAAAAGAAACATAACCAATAAAAATCTCAGGTGATGAACAAAAAAGCAAATGACAATCAAATTATCAATCGTAATATATAAAATAGGGGATTTCAAATTTGAATACCATTTCTCAATTTCAGTGTTCAGGATTAGGTTATCATTTATCAAAATAAGCTAATCATTTACAATCTAGTAAACTAATATACATACAGATACACATTTAAGGGATAAAAAATCAATACATGATTTGCTTCACAAAGCAAGTTTTAAATTAAAAAATTATATACAAATCATACTGAGCTGCTCCCCTCCCAATATAAGATAGGCATAATTAAAACAATATTAACAACAAAATCACAAGTATACTGTAAACAAAAGTAAATTGGGAAGAAAAAAAAGTGATTTTTCCCACTCCATTTCACTCCTATATCCACAACCTACTCCATATTTGATACCTTTGGAAAATATACTTTTCAATTTTTTTTAAGTTTCAATTTTGGCAATTTATCTTCACTGAATAATATATGCTCTGAGTTCATAATGGAATACTATTTTTTTTAGATGCAATGTGCTATGCACAGTACATTTTATATGACACAATCTACCTCTCTTCTAGAATAGCCAATGTTTTCTCCTTGGTTTATGCTGGATTGGTGCAGCTAAAACAAACACAAGATAATAAATCAGTAACTAATTATAGGATTATGCTTAATATCTCAAAAGTAATTCATTTTCAACTCTAATGGAGGATCGGGTTTAGTGGTGAACGAACCTCGAATTTCATAAAGTGAATTGTAATGAACCTCAGACCAGAAGCTCAACCACAACTCTGCATCATTCAGGAAAAAAAAATTATAAAACAAAAAAAAAGAGAACCACTTTTGTAGTGCTTTAAATGTGTTACATTTCTCAAATCTTTTCGAGAAATGCAATGGTAATTTGACATAATATGGAATATATGGTCCTTGAAACAAGATAACTTCAAAAAAGAATTGGGGTACATGGTCTTTTTCATAATCAGACTATTAAGATTGAATGAAGTTATGACAGTATACAACAATGGTGAGGTCTTACCGCGCTGTGGTGCTTGGTACAGTGGCATAATTTCGATGAAACAAGTATCTCTGAATGATGTCAGAAGGCATATCTTAGCTGCAAACTACATCAAAAAGAAGAGTTATGCTATATTTTGATAGTAATACACAACAAATGACATTGCAGTATAATAAGCATAATAAAACCTTAAGTTTGTCAAGATAAATTGATGTGCGAATCAATAAATTTGAGGATGCAAAGTTGCAAACAACACTTGTGAGAGAATAGAATAGAACCAGAGCATGAACACACAAATAACATCAACAAATTTTTTAAGAAAAAAATTCCATCCATTTTTATAGATAATGGCATAGGCAAGGGGTGGCAAACGGGCATGCCTGCCCCACAAAAGCCCACAAAAAACGGGGTGGGGCGGGGCGGGTCATAGTCAAGGATGCAGACCTAAAACTTAGGCCTGCCCCGCAAAAAAGTGAGGGTGGGCGGAGAAAGCCCACGGAGACTACACCTTTTAAGCCTAAAAACGTAAAAGTTTATGTAAATGATCGTGCCAGCAAAAGCCCGCAAAGAAAACGGGGAGGGGCGGGGCGGGACGGACACATTAGAGAGCGAGAGCCTAAACTCTTGGACCCGTTTTGCCACCCCTAGGCAAACTCAACACTTTTTGTTTTATGATACCAAGGATAGATCATTAATTTGCTTGACAAAGTAAGATATCAGAGTGACACTCAGATTAATTAAGGTCTTTAATACAACAATTGATAGAATTCTACAAAAAAAACTGATTCAAAACAGCGTAGCGAACCTTATCAGAAGCGGCCTGTAGGGTAATATGATCCCCCCATTCTCCAGATCTGCAGAAGGTAGAAGAAAGAAAGTGAATATTTGATGAAAATGCTACTAAAAGCATCGAAAAAATGTGATGTCTTATTTAATATATGATTGTTTAAGTGATGGTCTATTTGAAAGTACATACTTAGCCATTTTCTTGTAATATCGTTTGTACTTCATTGGTACATAGCACTCATATAAGGAATGGTGATCTTTGAGCTGGCAAAGAGAAACATTGTTCAAATAAGCATATCTCAAACAACCGGGCAACTAAATTTAAAATTATACGCTCTCTTGTACACAGCATTCCTACCACTTCCCACACATGATTTAAAAACCATCTATTTCTTCCCTAAATATTACATTATTTAACCACAATTCTTACATCCCGAATCGACAATTATGAACTATTTTAGGTACTATAAAAGAACAAAACACTAATTTTTATCTCCCACTTCTCATTTGGATGTGTACTCATTCATATATAAATTAGTAAATTTGAATTTAACTAAGATAAATAATCACAAGCCCATAAATCAGGTGTATTCGTAGCCTAACATATTTCACAGATACTATCCCTTTCACATGACCAAGACAAGCACAACTTGCCTGTTTTACAATATCTTTACGAACATGCTTGTGGTGTTCAGGTGACCTGTACAGCTGATCTGAAAGTGCGCGGAACTGTCACAGAGGTAGAATTATCAGTAGAAATTAAAACGATATTAGGTTAATGCTCATAACTTGTACACAATTGCAATAATATCACACCTGACAATTTCCATCTCCAGATACTTTAACTTCACAAAGACCGTAAACATTCAACCTAAAAGAGTGAAGATAAAATAAGTTAATGTTCCAATAGAGAGCAAATCCACAGCAAGAGTAGGTATGACATTTTACTACTTGAGCTTATCCTCATAAAAAATCCAGGTGCCTCTAAAATCTCTAATTTTTATTGTAGCCCCAAAAAGGGCCACTATATCTATAGTAATGAAGAAAACTCTTTCCTACACTAGAAGGATAATGTGCCTATCCTCAAGTCATTTGTATATGAATAAATAACATAGTAATATATGTTATTTCTACTTTTTTTAAACTTAAGAAAAACTGAAAAAAGAATATTTACTCAACCAGCTTTGTTCAATTTTACATAATAGATAACTTCAAGGTTTAGAATGTCCCTCACAAGTAGTAGAATTTACATAACAAAATGGCATACCTCTGCAGCAGACGCTGGTGATCCATACTGGCATCGTTTATGGTGGGGAAGAAGGAATTTATGCGGGGCACATGCTGAAATTTCAAGTTGGAATCAGAAAAAAATAAGAAAACTACAAGTATTCAAAATTCCAGATAACCCTCTCAAAAGGCTTAAGCTGTAGGGTTAAAGTACATATAAGCAACTAGTAATTAATATGGTTCCTCGTGCAAGATCATTCGGACTAAAAGTGTGGATACATCAACATAAAAACTTATAATCAATGGTCCTTGATTGAAACTTAACTACCAATTTTAAATCATTGCAGTGCCGACGTGCCGTGAAGAATGTGAATGAAGATTAGAGTAAATATTTCGGTTGTAAGGCAGTGTCATTTGTTTTGTTACTTTTACGGGTGGTGTTGCTATGAGTGCTCTTGATGATCTTTCTATCTATCATTGTTGTAACAAGTAAGCATGAAGTTCATGTGTTATTACTTTAATCTCACAGGAATGCATTTGGCATACATGAGAAACTCTTAAGAATTGTGTTTTAGCTTTTTGACATATTATGGTTTAGACTTTAGAATAAGACCTAAACAGACCTTCCAATTTAGGGTTTGCTTGGATTGACTTATTTGAGCTTATCTACTGGCATAAATTTTATGACAAAAGACTTTATCAAAACAGCTTATGACAGTTTTCATAAATTTTGAGCATAACAGAAAAAGCAGGGATTCTTACAGGAACAGGTTCGAAGTTGGAAAGGCGCCGGCCGACTGCCCCGTCTAATTTCGCATACTCCTCCGATAACACAAGAGCAATCATCTGATCATCCTCAACATCATGCTGACTACTAAGCGAAGTCGAACTTGAGCTTTCACCTTCACCCCAGCTCTGATTCTGTGATCCATTCATCATATCTGAAACCAAAATACTCCTCGTCTCTTCGACCTAAACCAAAAATTCACAGCCACAAAACCTACAACAAATGTAAGAACTCAGTAATAATAAAAAATATCAGATAATTCCGTTCAGACTCTCAAATTTGTCTAACCAGTAACTAACAAAACAATCAACTAAGAAACACACAAATACAATGCACCAATTGAGAAAAAACAAGATTCAGGATTTGAAAAGCATAGATTATAAAGAAAACCTAAATCAAATTTCAAAATCCCTAAAAGAGTAAAATCACACACCATCCCTACAAATTCAATACCTGCGGAATTGAAATTCACAAAAATTATTCTTAACACATTCCAAATTGATCATAAATCGATGAACTTATATTAATAAGAAGTGATTTTTCAACGCGCAATCAGATCGTAGATTATGATCCAAAAACCAAGAAAACACATAAAAAATCCCAAAATCAAAGACTAAATAATGAAATTAAACAAAATTTATATATAATTTTATAAAATTAAAGAAGTGATGAAGATTAAAAATTAAAAAAAAAAACCTGTGATTGTGTTTGGATTGAGATGAATGAATGGGTGTGATGAGAAAGGGGAATGAGTAAAAAGTGTGTGTGAAAATTAAATAAAGAAAGTTTTCAATTTGTGTTTTGGGGGAGAGACGCGTTATTAGTTGTTATTGTTTATTCACACATTTCTCGCTTTCATTTTAAAATATTCTTCGTCATTGAATTTCACTCGATTCAAGTATTTTATTGGATGAAATTAATTGGAATACACCACATCTAATTAAAATTGATTATTTTGTCACGTAAATACGAAAGATGTAAAGTAAAAAATATATTTTAATTAATTTTTTAATAAGATTAATTAATACAATTATAAATTTAATAGATATACACCACATTGTTATTCAATAGAATTTTTTCATACAGCCATGTCATATTATTAATTGGCTTAATTGCAACTATAGTCTCTCTATTTTGCATTTTGATCCTTTCATTTTAAAAATCACTATTTTGATCCTTTTTTAAATTTTGAGTTTAATTTTAGTCTCCTCTCCAATTTAAGACATTTTTTTGAATGATGTGGCGCCATCCATACCAAGTCATTTTAAAATTAATTTGAGACTTTAATTATTGATTGGGATAATTAATTTATTAATATTATTTTTATTAATAAAAAATAAATTATTAGTTTTTTATTATTAATTAATTAATCAAAATTTTATATGAAACACTTTGGGTGCTAACCTTTTAGTTTCATGTCTGTGATCCATTTTTTTAACACACAATTGATTTGTTGAGTTTGTGTAAGATATATAAACACTAACCACATTTGTAATAAAAATAATGTGGGACTTTTAGTGGGTTGGTGACTTTGTAAGCTAAATAATGGAAATTATCACTTCGTGCTTCTTTTTTACTCCAATAATATTGTACATAATACATCTTCTCTATAATAGTTTTCGGCTAGAGTTCATTTATCATATTGGAGAACTTGTATTCTTCCTTTATATTTTACTAAAGAAAATGATGTCTTTCTCCATTTATGCCTCCAACTATTCTTGTTACATTAGGCGACCCTTTGAGAATGGTGTTGGATAACTTCGTGAATGGACTTCCTCTACAAAATACAGCTAGAGAGCTAATAGAAGGTTTTACTACTCTTGCATCGTCTCTTCCTGTAAGGTTCAATTATTGTTTTTCAAAAATAAAAAGTTTCAATTGGAAAAGCAGTGTGTGACTTTATTTATGTGAAGCCTGTTGTGTGAGTAATAGTGAGTTTGTGACATTGACAATGCTTAAAGCATATTTCAGAAAGAAATCTTAATTGAAAATTGGCTAGCTTACTTTGTTTCCTTTATTTTAACTAAAACTTTGTAAAAGTGGAACATGCTAGACTTTTGAAGAGCATGGTTGGACATGACTTCATTTTCTTTGCTCTTGTTTATATGTGCTCATTTAAGCTTTCACTTCATTTACTTTCAATATTGAAAATCTGTTGATTGAATTTAGAGGTTCTTACTGACATATTACCAAAAGAAACACTTCTGTGGAAACTAAAGATGTTTAAATCAGCTTCGGATTATGCCACTTCACAGCTTTATGCTATCAAAGCTCAGACTTTGATATTTTGCAGGTTCATTCTCGTTAGCATTGTACATATTACATTAGTCATACTCTTTAACATTGTACTTCTTACATTAATCATAATATGGAATCCTATGGCTTTTCTTAACTTTTTGATGTTGTCACTTAGCCGACATGCTATTAGAAAATAAATGGAAAGAAAGATTACTAAGTGCTAACAAACAATTTCTTTAAACTTCATTACTTCTAAACAATGGTCTGTATGATGGAACCGTTGAAGGGTATAGAAACAAAAACCATATTAGATTTATGTCAATTACAGACCAGAGGATATCATCTCAGAATGTAAATTAGTGCATCCCAATCCCCTTCATAGGTAGAGAAAAATCACATCAATCACAAAGGTATTAGGACATGTTACAATTACCTCATTCAGCTTCCCAATTACATATAAATAATATATCTAAGAGGATACTACATATAATTGGAGGAAAAAAGATGTATTTTGTACAATATTATTGGAGGAAAAAAGAAGCAGGATGTGATAGTTTCCATTATTTAGCTTACAAAGTCACCAACCCACTAAAGTCCCACATTGTTTTCATTAAAATGTTGTTAGTGTTTATATATCTTACACAAACACAAAAAATCAATTGTGTGTTAAAAAATGGACCAAAGACATGGAACTAAAAGGTTAGGCTCAAAGTGTTTCATATAAAATTTTGATTAATTAATTGAAAATTAATAATAAAAAATTAATAATTTATTTATTTATTCATAAAAATAATATTAATAAATTAATTATCCTAATCAATATTAAAGTCTCAAATTAATTTTAAAATGACTTGGCATTGCCACGTCATCTTGGATGGTGCCACATCATTAAAAAAATGTCTCAAATTGGAGAGGGGACTAAAATTAAACTCAAAACTTAAAAAAGGGACCAAAATGGTGGTTTTTAAAATGGAGGGATCAAAACCCAAAAAAATGCAAAATAGGGGGGGGCATAGTTGCAATTAAGCCTTATTAATTATAGGGTTAATGAACTTTTTGATCCCACTAAATATTACAGATTTTGTTTTTAGTTTCTCCAAAATTTTCTTTCAAGTTATTTCTTCAAAAAATTTCGTCTGAACTATTAGTTCCTAACGTCAAATACAATTAACAGCTACTTATGTGGCAGGACAGGTGGATTAAATTTTTTTTTATTTTCTTGAATCCAGCGTGTACAATGAGACAATTTAAAGATGATTGTGTTATCATTTGACCTAAATTACTTCCTCTTTGTTCATTTTCTTCCTCTATCGTGAAATTCATTGTTCATTCGTTTCTTGCTTGCTTTGTTCATCTTCTTCCTCCTGCGTCTTCATAAGTTAATGTCTTCTGCTTCGCTAAAATCGCAATTGGGGAAGTTTTGTGGGTGTCAAGTTCGTATGGTCTTGTATCAGTGCAAGAATGGATCGACCAAATAAAGGAAGGTTGTTTTGGAGATGTCCTTATTGGAGGAGTGTTAATATGTGTAATCTGTTCATATGGGATGAAGATCTTGCAGAAAAAATTGGAAATGAAGATGGAGCCATTACGAACTCAGAGTTGGAAGTCATGGAATCTGTGGGATATATGAAATCCTTGTATGATGAATCAAGGAAGAAGAACAAGAATTTGAAGACCAAGTTGAAAATAGAGAAATTTCATGGAAGATTGAAGATATTCTGTCTTGATATGTCCTTTATGATCAATGTGTATTTTGTTATGAAATGTAGTTGTTGAACTGAATGTAATGTACTAAATTTGTAATGTTTGTTGTTGAACTTGATTAGTGTTGCGGTGTAGTTGTTGAACTTGATTAATATATTGAACTTTCAATGTAGTTGTTGAAATTGATTAATGTTGCAATGTGATTAGTTTTAGACATAATATGTGATGTAGTGGTTGTTGCAATGTAGAATTTGTGATGTAGTAGTTGTTGCAATGTAATTGTTGCAATATAGTTTGTTATGATTAAGTTGACAATTTTTGTAAAATTTGGCATAAAAAGGTTGTAACATGACTGTAATTGGCAAGATGAATTTAGACAGAATATTGGCAAGATGATTCTAGACAAAATACAAAATAAATTAGATTGATGACATAATAGTACTTCAGGCTGAGCTCTATTACATAAATTTCAAAATACAACATACATAAGATTCAAAACAGAATACAAAATACATCAAAAGAGCAGTGTTGACATAGTCGTAGTACATAAGTTTCAAAACAAAACACTTTAGATTCATATTACATAAGTTCCAAACATAGGTTCATATTGCATGAGTTTCACTTCTAGCACTAGCAATACATAAGTCTTCAATGAGTCATGCTCTTTTAGATGTCATCCCAAGTCATCTTCCCCCTAGCATTGCCAACACTTGTGTCTTCCTCAGGAATAACAAATGGATCATTTGGATCCCTCCCAGATCCCACAATATCATGTGTCTTCATAGTCTTAAGTTTGTCACTTTGTCTTTTTGGAATTGCAACATTCTTGGCTTTTTTTTCTTGGTGATATCATTATTTTCACCTGTTATGACAACATAAAGTTATCAAGGTAATAAACATAAAAAAAACCAAACAAGTTTAGTGGAACAAGTTACACACTTACAAGATCACTTATACTTGGCTTGCTGGCTTCATTTATCATTGGTTTGACAATTGGCTTAGTTAACTTTGGTCTTAGACCAATGAAGGTTTTGATAGCAGGTTTTATGACCTTAGGTCTTGGACCAAATAAAGTTTTGGCAGTAGACCTATTTGGGTTAACATTTACAGATTATTTAACATTATTAGTTGGTTTTGCAGGACTAATATCAACACGAAGTGGATCAGTGTCTAGTATTTCATCCTCATTCAACAATGCTGCCAATTCATC